CCCCGAAGCCCCATTTTGAGTTTTATGAAAAAGTATCAAATCAAGATGGCGGCCGAAGTATTTTTTTCGGACTAAATTTTATTTTAAAATCGGCCATAGAATTAAGATTAATAACGATATACATAATTTCGTTGAAATATTTCAATCACACCGGAAGTTATTCAACCGGAAGTGAAAATCGATTTTCCACTTTAACCGGAAGTGACGCAAAAATTTTGAATACGTCAAATGGTTTACATTAGTGACATGTATCTTTTATCAAAATTTCAGATTAATCCGAAAAAAACTGAAAAATGGTCCAAAAATTTCGAAAATCGGCCAAAAAATGTCTGCGACAAATTTTCGAATTTTGAAACTGCTATTCTTTCAGATTTTAACAGTAGATTCCAAAAATGCAAACCAAAGAAAATCGACCGAAAAATACGACTTCTAGAGCCGATTATCTATTCTTGCACATATTGAACTGTGGCACTTTCGGTTTTGCAAAAAAGATCCAAAATATATTTATGCACATCGTCGCCTATATCTAAGGTTCGTGAATGTTGAATGGTTGCTGCAACTATTGTAGTCTAAGCTGAGGAAGGTGTGTAAAAATCGAAAAAATAAAAAAAAATAAAAAAAAAAAAAAAAAGAATTGACATTTCGATAACAAACTGGGACTTTGCTGAAAGCAAAGTCCCACAATTACTATTTTAAGTAGTTTATGTTTATATTTCATTGCATATATGTCTGACATAAAAATGAAATAACTGCCCCTGTTACATCCATACCAGTTTCAATATGTCCAAACTGAATCCAGATATTTCACAAGCAAGAATAATAAACAGTAAAAATACTTACATATTATTCAGACTGAGAGATGAATTTAGGTTTAAACTAAGAGAACTAGTAGATGGTGACCCCTCTCCCCCACTTAACCCCCCTCCTCTTTTTACAGGCGTAGACCGTAGATTCACTGGTTTACTCAGATGCTGAAAAATAATAAATTACCAGGTTTAAAAAACAAATACCCAACAGAACCTGAAACATGTTGTTACTCAAGAGTTTCAATATATGGATAAAACTGCGGCTCACTTAATCTAAATAGCTTTGTACGATTTTTACACAATTGGGGTTGACCATAATAAAATAAAATTTAAATATCGTACATAGTTTATATTTACAAAACAGAACGTAAAAATGGCTATGTGCTATTGTTCTGATTCCAAGACATTGTGGATATCATCTTGGCCTCTTCTATGAGATTAACTTGTTAATATGAAGCACGATTGGGTACCTGAAAGTAATCTACTGTATTCAGGCGATGTGATGTTCGACACGATGGTTTAGGTTTATCTTTAGGTGAGGGGGTGGTAGGAGGACTCCAAACTTCACTAAACTCCATCTCTAATATAAACTCTCTTAATTCTTCTAGATGACTGTAATAGACAGCTCAATATTCAAAATATTCGTTATATTTACAGTCAAGCAATGATACTTATACACAAAATTCAAAAGAAATTCAAAGTTGCTTTCTGCTGATGTTTAGAAGAATACTTCATTTGAATGTAAGACAATTTCTATAAATTTCTTCTTCTTCGGACAATTCTTTACAACTATAGTCAAGTAATGATATGTGTGCTCATCCAGGTCTGATATAAACTATAATCACAACCAGTTCAGTTATTCTCTGATTTATGGACAGAAAAAGTCTGGCTCACAAATTTCAACAATTATTTCTTGTACCCAAAACCTAAGCATGAGGTAAAATATATAGTATAACACACCCAATTCCAAATTACACCTCAACCAAAATGATATATTACAAATGGTAAAATCTGAAGAGCAACTTACCCTAAACATTGTAATATAGAATTCATATAACACGTGTTACCAAGGTTACGTAGTCCTGTGACACCAGGTATCAATGTTCTCTTACGTCCAGACGGGGAACTAATTGTTTTCTCTAGTTTCACTTTCTTAGGTGGGGAGGCCTTGTCCTGTATAAGATAGAAAATAACAACCTATATTTCCTGTCGAATGGAAAAATTAAAATTTTGTGCGTGGTATTTATTGTATTACTTAATATACCCTGAATTAATAAAACATTTTAGATGTTAACGTTATCAAATTTCATAATCAATTTTATGTCAAAGTTCTATTTTCTCCACTGTACCCATTAACAAATAGTAATTTCTTCTACATAGGTTCCCTTCAGCACATAACTTACGCACAATAAACCATAATAACAGATCAAAGCAAGAATATACTTCAATGATACAAAACATACCCACAATAAACTATAATAACTGATCAAAGTAAGAATATACTTCAATGATACAAAACATACCCACAATAAACTATAATAACAGATCAAAGTAAGAATGTTAGTCATATGACACAAAACATACCCACATTAAACTATAATAACTGATCAAAGTAAGAATATACTTCAATGATACAAAAATAACCCATCAAATTAAAAATGTTTTTAATTTAGTATTTACCGGGTTTCTCAATGAAATATTTTGATTATTAATTGATTATTGATCTGTAGTGTGCCATCGATAATCAACCTCAATTTGCTAATCGATACCCAGTCCTATCTCTGGTTTTTGATCACTTTATTATGTGTCCAACTTACCTTTTCATGTTGAACGTAAGCTTGCCATGCTGTTAATACTTTACTTAATAATGAGCGCCTGAAATAAAGATAATCATTTTTATCAACAAAACAGAGCAAAGCCCCAAAGAATGCAGAGCAAAGTGCTAACAAATGCAGAGCAAAGTCCCAACCAATGCAGAGCAAAGTCCCAACCAATGCAGAGCAAAGTCCCAACAAATGCAGAGAAAATGCCAATGCTTTCAAAACAAAGTTCCAAACCAAGTGCTAACATCCATATAAAGTTGAGAACAATAAACAAATGCAGAGAAAAGTTCCAACACAGTTCCAATAAGAGAGTTGAGAAAAGAAAACTAATAACTTACGAATGATGTAAAACTGCAGTAGCAAACTTATCATTTAAATCAGAGTTCTGTCTATAAATAGAAAAACAAAAACACATGTAAACCTTAAGATAAAACAGCAAAACATTACATGGTTGTGGTCATGTCTTAACACTTGTTTCATATTTTTAGTAACTTCTTGGCCCAGTGCAAAGACAAAATAACTGAGCTTACTTAAAAGGTGCATTTAGACAGCCACAAATTATCTGGGCCGAGTATGGTTCTGCAGTGTCAACAGGTTCAGAGGGCTCCGCACTGTGCTAGTATCAAGGTCCGGTCCAGACTGAATATGGCATGGGTAAATATCAGTGCAGTGTAAACGTGCCATATCTCTACATCTATATGATAGTTAATTATTCATTATAAGACTACCAATACTGTTTTCAAGTTGAAATTTCAATTCACATTAAAATAATTAGTAAAATTCTCTCAACCAACAGTTTATAGTTTATCAACTCTGTATCTCAAATCAACAAGTCTACATATTAAAGTTAATGAGAAGATTTCTGGACTCACCTTGATGTTATTTCAGAATTAGAATATGACCTCAGTAACCTTTGACCTCGAGATTCGACCTTCTCAAAAGATTGTGTAGTAATAGCACTCAATGCTTCACGAAGTAAGGTCAAGTCTTTAGTAACATTATCTCCATATAAATACTCATCACATTTATAACTGAAAATATCATTTAGAATCAAATTTTATCAGCAGCAGTAGATTTTATAACGAAAATGACGTTCAACCCTTGTGGCCAGTTTACTAACCCACACACTAACGCAATATATACTGGAGCAGGCAGTAAACTGGTCGTTGTGACGTTATTCAGTGTTCATTCCGAATGCTTTTACTTTTATTACTTTGTGTTTAGGGTATATGACGTTATATTTCATTTATACTCAGAGTTCAAAGGGTCAATAGGATTGCAAGAGAAGTGTTTTTGACTTGCAAATTGGGATGTGATACCTCTTAAATTGAATCCCGTTGAACATGGTTTTTGTCAGAATTTCTTCAGATCATGGATTGAATGAGTAAAAAGCAATGGAAAAAAAGCCCTGAACTAAGCAACAGATCCATGACCACATCCTCCAAAACTTAGCCAAGATAAATCTACATTTTAAGAATACAGTCATCTGATTGGATAATAAAACTTAATTTCAAATCAATTTTAGTGATTGACCAATCAGATGACTGGAACGCTAAAATTATCGATAGTTATGTTTTTTTAGAATAAGGTCCCAGCATATAAATCAGATTGAACCTATCAAATGTGTAGATGCAGGGATTATAAATAACAGAATACTCACCAATAAACATATCTATCATTTACTTCTATAGCCAATGGATGCTGGAATTGTACAACAATAGAAAGATAATAATACTGTATGGTTTATATTTCAAATTAATCTAATTTACAAATTCCTTCATCATTATTTCAGTCTAATGATTAATCCTTGAAAGATTATAAACTTTTCTCTTTTGGAGATTAATTTCTTAAAAAAAAGGTCAAAAGACAAAGAACATGTCTTTATTTCAACATTAATGAAAGCTGACCAACAGTTATTAGATCAGCATCTCTCTTATAGGAACATTATATGCTCAAAAAAAATTACTGCTGTTACTGGCTTTGCTGTACAGTTAAATGTGTCACATTTAGAATGATCATAAACAGTTTTTTTACATATGAATATATTTAAGAATCTTTCTCTTATTTCAGATAACATACTTACCTTTTTGTCTTGAAAATGTCTAAGAGCATGCCCATTATTAAAACGACCACATGCCACGTTACGACAACTGAGACAGGCCTGAAAATAAACCACCATTAAACACACAATCCAACATAATCTAAAACTAAATAGAGAATTCCAAACTAAATAGAGAATTCCAAACTAAATAGAGAATTCCAAACTAAATAGAGAATTCCAAACTAAATAGAGAATTCCAAACTAAATAGAGAATTCAACCTTCACAATAACCTAAAGATAAAAATATTCAATGCAATAGTAGAATTAAATCAAAGCAGAAGTCCTAACCATCATTGAACCTGATGCTAGACTGAGAAAATAAATAAAACCATACAAATTAGAATTTTTGAATTTAAAATAATCAAGATAATCAAGAGATTGTAAAGAGGTTTTCTAAACTTCTGATTGAAAATTGGAATGGAGTAAATTGATGATATCAGTGTCATTTATTTTTTTTTTTAGAAAAGATTTTAACAATCCCTTTAATTAGTTTTAATTGTAAAATAAAATGTAAATAGCAAAAGAAATGAAAAACAACAACAATGCTTGAAATATTTCCAGGAATATTACAACAAAAGAAACTAAAACTAAAGATGGTGTCAGAAGTTACATTCAGTACTGACCAATAATATATAATATATTAATAAATAAGAAATAGCAATAAAAAGCTAAGATACAATAAAGATCACACAAAACATCAATTTCTATAAAGGGAAATTTGAAGCAGTTAAAGTTAAAAGAAAAAAATGTTGCCAACAAAAAACATGAAAATCTAATTCTAATGGAAAAACTATCAAACCAATGAACCAAGAAAATTGACAATCTGAACAACAATCTAAGCTAATATTTTGGAGTATTTTGCCATTATATCTGACAACATAAATATCGACTCTAAAAATACTTAAGAAGTCAAATCAAACTAATGTTTGGTAAAAAAAATGGTTCACGAAAAAGAGATTTATTAAAAGAAAAAATTCATAGAAGAGGCTAGTTAAGAAGTGTCAAATTAAAATTTGATACAACTGGTACCTTAGTCTTGTATCTTGTTCAAGGGATAATAGTTTTCAGATGATTCTTACCCAAACACTTGCTGTTGTGCCACAAGTAAAACACATCCATTTCTCAGGATTCAAAATATTATGTTTATTTTCAGCAATTTGTAGAACTTTTAAATGTTTACAGACTTCCATTAGGCTACTCTCTTTCCTTTCTCCATTTTACCACCTGAAAAAATACGAACACATTTTCATCATTCAGCAACATTTTGAATTTTTTTCAAATAAGCTCAAGTCTTTCCAACTGAGAAAGTTTTGGCAATCATTTGTGTAAATTAAAAAAAGCAGACTAAACTAGAGATCAGTTAAAAACATTGACAACAAGTGGACCACTAAGCAAAATAATTTTTTTGTTATCTAATGGAGAGAGGGTCAATATCATGAAGCCATTTCTTCATGAACTTATGCATTGTGCAATGAGGTAAGATTTAAATAATGATTAGATCAAGGGCCTTGTCTTTTTGTAATTGATGTTTACCTTCAAAGATACACTGTGAGAGCTAGTGAAGGCTAAAAATTCTGCATTGGCAGGAGTTCTGATCGCAAAAACTAAACAAACGATGCAAAAAATATTCCAGAATTACATGAATGATTGCACTTTGTCTTTTCTTTGAAATTTGAAGAATCTTTGAAATTCTTTTCCACTGTCTGTCGATCAGATCGTTATTAAAAGGCTGCCAAGAAAAATGGGAGGATTCAGGCACACAGAAAAAGTCTTGGCTACGTTGAAATCTCAAGTACATGGATTAAAATGTTGCTGAAAATAGTTTTAGCTGCCTTTGTTTTATTGTTTACATTTGCAGTTACCTCCCCGAAAAAATAGCCGCCATATTTAAAATATTACCCAACATTCCACACGTTTGGAATCTACCATTATTTGACAGATGTCAAAAAGTTCAATTTACGTAAAAAAGGCAACATTTTATCAAAATTTATACAGAAAATGTTCCTTTTCTTTACAGAAAAATGTAAATGCTAGAAAATTCCCCAAAACAGACATTTACTGTTATTCTATCTGACACCCCCACAAAGTTGGAATAAATTAGTCCATTTAGAACCTAAGATGGCGGACGATGTGAAAGATTCTGCGGATTCTACTGAAAATGTTGTTGAAAAAACGGAGGATGTATTTGTAAACGGTGATTCGGATACAAAACCTGAAGTGTCAAATAATGGTACAACTAATGAACTGACTGTCCCCAAGCAGCCGTTGCCAAGAAGGAGTAGCTTAATGAATAAGGATGGCCATTCCAAACGGACACCTCGCAAGAAAACGGTATCGTTCAGTAGCATGCCTACTGAACGAAAGATTGCAACCGGTAAGAATCAGTTATTCTTTTGTTTTGCCAAATTCTTGATTAATGCAGAAACCAAACTTTAGTTTGATAGTTGTATCAGACGATCCGGACAAAAACATGTAAAATTAGAAAATAATAAATGTCAAAACAAACATGGAAAGTTCGTAAACAGGTTGCTCATATGATGATAGTTTGACATTTGGTCATTTTGACAGTTCGTTCAGTTCAGTGTTTGAACTCAACTCCTCTATGGCCACCTGCAGCTTTGACATCTCAAAAGCTGGTAATTTTATGCAGAATATCAAAATTTGCTTGTTATTAAATTTGAATTTAAATACCGGTAGGCCTTATATAAAAACCTGTACAAGCATGACAATTCCTCTAATTGAAAATTTCATCTCAAAAATAGCAAAATGGGGAGTATAAGTTATGTAGTAGTTCACCCCTCCAAAGAAAAGTACCATCAGGTGTTTAGGAAATTTAAACTTGTTATGCTCTTAGTCTTACTTAAGGTGCAACAAGTGTCAGAAATAGTAACTAAGGGCCGAGTAATAACTGAAATGATACATCTTGGTTGTTGACATATTAGTGAAGACAGTTAATTTGTCTTCACAATCAAAAGGTTACCAAAAATAATGGAAACCTTGACATAGGCAGTAAAAACAGATAAAATTTAGGAGCTGTCAATTTGATAACTTCTCTCCAGACAAGAATTTCTTTTAATAAAGCTTACAACTGTTACTTTTACACCTCTAATTGCACAAAAAATGGCATTTTAGGATTTGACAGCTTCAGAAAATTTAGAAATAATTGGCAAGTTTAGGTCAAAGAGTACAATAAGCTTATCTTCTTCTGAGTGTTGAAAAATTGATATTTACTTTACTGAGAAACTGAATAAGACAGACCATTTTCACTTGTTAGCTATATAACTTTCTCTTGTACAAGTTAACCAAGTAGTAATCTCTTCCACATAGTTTACCTTCAGCACATAACTTACTCACAATAAACCATAATAACAGATCAAAGCAAGAATATACTTCTATTACACATAACATACCCACAATAAACTATAATAACAGATCAAAGTAAGAATGTTAGTCATATGACACAAAACTAACCATGAAATTAAAATTTTTGGCATATTTCAAATTCAATATTTTACATTGTTTTTCAATGGAAATATTCTGATTATTAATCGATAATTGATCGATAGCCTGCCTTCGATAACCGATCTCTATTTATTAAGATTCCCAGCTCTAGCTAGAACTATAAGCTTATTATATTTATGTGTTTGAAGTTTAGTTAGTGAAATTATGATAAAGTTTTAAAACCAGTGATTATAATATGATGCTGCCCACTCATCTCAAGCCTAGAGTTATTTAATTATTTTCTCTGTGTGTGTCTGAGGACACCATTACCAGACCGTGGCGTGACCTCGTTCCATTCTGACACTAATAATTGACAAGTGTCTAGACTTATTAATTACCTATAGATATCATTAATTTTATTATTTTAATAATTAATTGATTCGATTGGATCACAGAGATCATCATAGAGATCATCATAGAGATCATCATAGAGATCATCATAGAGATCATCATAGAGATCACTATAGAGATCATCACAGAGATCACCATAGAGATCATCACAGAGATCATCATAGAGATCATCACAGAGATCACCATAGAGATCATCACAGAGATCATCATAGAGATTATCATTACCCATTAAAGGGATTGTACCGATGGTTTTCTAAATTTTGTATGTGTATCGGAAACACTTTACACCTCCTCCTATCTCTCCAGAAGTATGTAATATTCTATCAAATTGATGTATTTCAATGCTGAAATCCACAGTCCCTACTTGTGACTTAGGCCAGTGCTTTTATAATAGAGTTTCTCTTATAAAACCTTATACCATTCCAGTTTTCAATCAGACTGCTGTGAGTCCTGTAATTCCACTAAATCTAAGTGTTTGATAACGTGACTATTATAAATATGTACTTATATCATTATATCTATTAAACCTTAAAATTGTACTAAAATATCAGTCATCTAAATTTATTTTTTACATTTTTAGACATGTGTCTAAAACCATCATGATAATTTGATGATTAAGCATTATCTACAAGGACAATCATTTCTAAATGTAGTGTAGTTTTTTAACGTCTAAAATGACATTGATAACTTTAATAATATAAAATATACCAGTATCTGGCTGACAATGCCTTCCGATTTTTAATGCAATTTCCCCTTCAACTTTGATGCAGGTCGGAGGTGCTGCTGAGATGAAATAAGCATTTAGTCATTTAGATGTGGAAATATCCAGTGGCCCTGTGTGCTGCAGGATGTGCATTTTATAGATCTTTCAACAAAATGACACCATAACCAGTAGTCAAATGTAGGTTTATGTCTCTGTCATTGCAAATTTTTCTCATTGAAAACTGCATGGTATTGTTAGGCTACATTAACCTAATGATGTGCAGGCCTGTAAGACTTCAAACTCCATTTCGTTTCATTTCATTAATTGCCAAGGCCAGGCTGGTGAGAAATCGTGTGTTAATTTTATATAGTTGTTCTATAACTAATAGAATGTATCAATAATTAATTAGGTAGCTCGTTAAGCTGTATTTAACACCCATTACTGATAGTGATGTATGGACATGACTGGTTAATTGTATTATATGGGTACGTCTGACGAAATCTTTTGAATGACGGTGATTCTTGATTTAATGGCTTTTTTCGACCATGTCTTGCTGAAGCTAAAATAAATGTCTGATTGCTTTGATAGTGTACAGAAAAGAATGTTTTTTTTTTCAATTCATTAAAGCATAATAATTATATTGCATTTGCCAGTAGATCTTGAAGCTCTGACAGATTATTTAGTGTGCACAAAAGGGTTGTTGATTTAACTGTATTTGCCAGCCATGTTTTGCCAAACTTGAAGATATCTGGTGTCCATTTTAGTGTATTGTCTTGTTGAAGATCTTAAATGTTAAACAACTTTTTTATTGTGCAGGAAAGGATTGTTGATTTAACTGAATTTACCAGACATGTCTGTAGGCTGTTGAAGATGTCCGAATGTAATTTTTGTGAGGAAGGATTGTTGATTAAAATGTTATTGTTTTTGCTAGTTATGGCTGTCTGTGGTTCTTTAATGCCTGATTTCAAGTTTAGTTTTCATGATTGTTGAATTGATTGTATTATCCAGTCATATCTTGCTGAAGCTCACAGTAAGGATTGCTAATTGCAGTAAGCTTATATTTGCCTGTTTTCTGGCATAGTTTAATAACTGCTATAAGTCTATTAATTTCATTGCAATTTGCCAGTAATGTTTGATTGAAGTTCTTTAGTGTCTGTGAATTGAATAGATTTGCCAGTTAGGTCTCACTAAAGCTCAAAGATTTTAGTTTGGCACTTTTAATACTTTTTCCAGATCTACTTTAAGATGTAAGTCTAGTTCAGCTTCCAGTTAGGATTTAAATGAGTGAAAGGGATGATATTTACCATTCTTGTTGTTGATAGACTGCATTTAGCAATCTGCATTTTAATCAATCTACTCTAATTGGATCTATTTAAATCCTGGTGTTGGACTATATGTATCCAGCAGTGTTGAAACTATTTATATTGATTCAGTAGAAATATTATTAATATATATTAATGTAGATTGAAAGACAATCAGAGTGGCTGTTTCCTGTGATAATATTTCTTTTCCTGTCGAATTTATACAAACGCCTTCATCAAGATTATGAATATTTATTGAAATATTGAGATATTTATCTCATTTCTTAATGAAAAATCTAGTAAACAATGAAACTATGTTGTTTGGAAAAATAACTTGACTTAGAATGAAATAATAACTTATTGTATTGCGCTCCAATTTTGGCCAATAAAGATAGCTCAGAGAACAGATATTATGAATTTTTATTGAAATATTGAGATATTCATCTGATATATTTTTCTAGTAAACAATTTGGCGATTGGTCTTATAAAAATACTGTGGCTCATAATGAAATGGAGTTTTACACCCTACCTTTATGTTCCATTTTCTGGGCCAATCAACATAGACAGGAAAGTCATAGTATTAGATACAGGAAGTTATCAGGATTATGAAAAAGTTGTAGAAAGGAGACAAGTAATTTAGGTGAAGTCTGTTCCCCAACCCTCCTCACAACAGTAATGTATATCTCTGAATTTGTGAATAAACTATTGTTTACAAAAAATACAAAAAAGTTGAGAAAAGGATACTGAGTTCGTTTCTGCAATTCAAATAAAACTAAAATTTGATGATGTCACTAATCGAGAAGGCCATATGTGGTTAAGCATATTTTGCGATTAGTGACATAATTTAACACTTGGTTGAAGTGGATTTGCAGGAACAACAGACATCTGATTGAAAATTGGTAGGATGCAAATTGATGCTATCAGTATCAATAATACACATAAAAAATTTAGAAAACCTCTTTACAATCCCCTTAAAGTATCTCAAAGTGTAGTTGACTGTCAGTGCCGGTACCGATAGTTATATTTGGAAGTGACCTGAAATAAGCTAAAAACAACTTCAATTATTATTCACAGTGGTATTAATTATTCCTTTGTCTTGTGTTGATATATAATGTTTAAAATTTACATTTTATGAATTTTTTTTTACTCTTTCAAGGCAAATTTTTCGGGTGTAAAATATTGAAAAGTGTCATTACCTGTATTAATAAACGACCTTGCAAGTTATCAGTAAACAAGACCTGTAAATATTTGTAATGTTAAAGGCATTAGAGCATGAAAATGTTTGATGTTTTATTTTTTGCATCAAGTGGTGTGTAACTGTCAGTTTTTTTTTCTCTCTATGTATAAGATCTTTTGACAAGTTGAATTAAAATATAGGTAGACATGTTATTACCTGAAATTTATTTCATCTTATGATGAAAAATCTTCTTTGGGCTTTTTTATATACCCACATTTCTTGAAGCTTCAATAACGGCTATAGTTTTTATCTAATCTTAAAGGAATACTACGTCTTAGAAT